TATATATATATATATATATATATATATATATATATATATATTTAATATATTATATAATTATATTTTTTTTTGTAAATCAATATTTCTAATGAATTTCGGAAATAAAGTTGTTCTGTAACTAATGATTGAAAACAGTATTCTCCACCTACTACTCCAGACTCAAAATATATCATAGATTATACACAAAATTAAAATTTCTGATTTAAAAAGTATTACTCAAATATTATTTTCGATTTTTAATATTTTGATCGAAAACAATAATTATATTATTTTTAAAATTTTCAGATAAAAATATTGTTCTAATTTATTTTATTTTTTTAAATTCTAGATTTAAAACTCTAATTCAAGAAAAAAACAAGGTTATTGGAGACAAATCTGTTGTTACTTCTCAGTCGTAATATTACTTAATGTTGGTTAGCTCAGTTTTGAAGAAACATACCGACAAAGATTAGTTTGTTTTCTGGTTTTGTGCAGCATCTATTATACCGTGTCCGATTATGTACACAGGGACTAATAAAAAAAAAATGTTTCACATATTCAAAGGACAACCTGATAGAAAATGCAAATGAAACTGACATTTATTAAAAAATAGAGTATTATTATATGAGTGATATTTCTAGTTCAAAAATTTATATCTGTGCACAGGGTGAGTGAATTGATACCAGAGTAGGTGATGGCATTGTTGAAATATAAAACCGTGAATTATGGTATTAATTTTCCCACTAGAAATATCACAAAAATCAATAATAAAAAATGTTGAAATTGGAGTTAAGTCATTTTGTCAACTGAAAGGCACATATACAACCAGACTCTAATAAGGGCTTCGGAAAAAAAGCTTCAAAATTATTTTTAAAAACATCCGCTTCATTATGATTGATTTGGAGTCTTATTTTAATAACATTACATGTTTAAGTATTTAAGCAAAAACAGATATCTACAACCTGATGAGTTTTTAACCAATTAAAAATATAGCACGAATGTATACGAATGTATATGTATTATGTTGATAGTAACAACATAATATATAAACAAATTTATGTATATTTACTCTATAAATCTTTATATATATATATATATATATGTAAAAGGAAGATTGCATGGATATCAAAATTCAACATCCAACCAAGAACGCAAATATAAAATTAAAATATTCCAAATCTTAAGTTATACTGAACTTAAGATACTGTCTAAGATAATAATATAATAACCTTATTTATTAAATAGATTCTGTTATATTGGGATGATCTAAATATCACTATTTTAATCGAGCTTTCTTTCCTTCTTTTCGAAACATCCACTTCATAATGATTGATTAGGGGATTTAATAACTTCACATGCTCAAGAATCTATGAAAAAATATATACTTGGTTTGTCTTTTTGAACTGTCTTCTGGATAACGTAACCAATTAAAAATACAGCACGAATATGTTAGAGCAACAACATAATATCAACAAATTTATGTATATATACTTTATAAATATGTAAAAAGAAGATTTCAAAGATATCGAAATCCAATATTCAACCAAGAACACGAATATAAAACACTAAATAGCTTATGCAATATTTGGTATGATAAAATAACACTATTTTAATAATAGTGTTATTATCATCATAACCTTGTTTTACATTTATAATTACATTCTAAATTTTATTCTTTTATAGAGTTATGTATACTTAATAATATATCCTAACGATATTACAACTAATGCTATCATATTAATATTTCAATTTCATTTCTTAACCTTTAGTCCTGTTATCTGCTTACCTATAGTTATCAAATGTAACCTCCACTAGCTTGTTATCCACTGATATCTTATAATTATGTTATCTTATTGTTATTTTAGCTTTACTATATCAATACTTATTCAATTTTTAATATCTATATTCGTTAACATTCATTTTCCTTATTAGTTCGTTATACACTTATTCCTTATCTTTTATCGCAATCTGTTTACTTTTAACTTACATGCTATATTCTCCTTTTTTTTTTCTATTTTTATTTATACTTATTTTCTATTTTTCTTTTTATCTTCTATATATATATAATACTTGATATTTTAACTACATTGTCATCCCCTACATCACTGATACCATCTTTTTATTTCTTTATCAGACAACTTCTTCTTATTTTATATCTACTTATATTCATTTTATTTTCACCACGTTTTGTATCTTTTGTAGCCCTGATGAAGACATGCAAAGTGTGCCGAAACGTCGGCAAAAATCAAATAATACTATTTGTATAATTTAGTATTTATTTGACCGCACTCCCGATCAACTCCTTCTCATACTTTAAAAATAACTTATTTCTCTATCTTCAGAACATTCTATACATATGATAGATACGGAGTTTTGTTTTAATAACTTCACATGCTTAAGTACTTACGAAAAAAAATAAGTACTTACTTTTATTTTTTTAATTTTATCTTCTATTAAGATTGGTCAGACAATAATTAGGAAAATGTTTACGAGTAATTGTAAATAAGGATACCGCTCTTGAGTTAGCGTAGACACGATACTAACCCCTAAAATGATAGAGCAATTTAAATTTTATTAAAGTAAACTACACGGAATGAATTATGGGTTGATTGTTGAACGATCAGATACACTATCTGATACATCCACAGCACGTGTTATAGCATCACTTATCAGATGATGGAACAAGCTACCGAGGTTCACACCTCCTTCCAGCAGCCTGGTTCCATCCATCAACTGGTCCGACGTACCAGCATTATTACCAGGCACCAGTCAGCGTTATTAACTGTGGCAAACGTTCATTAAAAAAAATTATAATATAGCAGTAAAAAATAAAATCTTCCTTCGTACGATAATTTCGACAATTCAAACCAAAATTAAACGTAAGATAGTTGGAAAAAAAGTATGTTTTTTATTTTATTTATAATTCTTTGCAGATTAAATACTGATTCATCGTTATTTTATGTAAGTAAAGCTCTAAAATTAGCATTCGGTTTTTATCTACATTTTTTATCTTAACATACAAAACAGAAAACAATATCACATCAGAATCGTTTTCATTGAGGATAAATTTGATAAAGTTATAAACATACGTTTGACTTATGTAATGCATACATTTACGAGCATGCATAAGAACATAATAAAAAACAATATTTATTTAAAAGTTTTAAAAAATGGAAGAGAATAATGAAAAATAAATCGCAAGTAGGGCTTTTTTTTTATATATTACAAAAATAGAACGAAAATTGTAAAAACAATACGAAAATTGTAGATATGTTTTTGAACAAAATAATCTACCCATTAAAAATGTTTTTACTGCCATTATAAAAAAAAACACAATTGCTCCCTAGATAAAACTATGATTCAATATTCCTTGATTATTTTAAAAATCACGATTTTCTTCAATTTTTTCCCCAGTAATTTTATTGTGTACACAATTTTATTAAATTAAATTACATCTTTTTTACATTTATTTATAGAGCGTATAACTAAACAAGCAAAATATTGTCCAATAATAATTATTAAACATCCATTTTTTTTGTTGAGTAATTTTAATTAGTAGAGCAAGATATAATTTCGTTTCACTGATTATTGTTACTCTCATTATATATCTACAAAGCAAGGAAATAAATTAATAAATATATAGGCTTTAAATAACACTATTGTCTTTAAAAAACGTATAGATTTTACAAATAATAATCAATGTTTTTATTCATCGTGTTATTCAAGATGATTTGGATAGCAATAATACTCAATCACCAGGGTTATCTTCCTATTGTTGGGCAAAAAGTAATTATCATCAATTACCAATTACTGTAATTGTAATTGAATAACTAACATAAAATTTACAAATACTACAATCACCTCCTGAAGCATTGTAACTCTAATTGTGATCATCAATAACAGTTACCAACTAAAATTTTATATAATTGTTAATTTATTTGATTTAATTACTTTAATCCTACATAGCAATAAAAAGAGGAGATAAAAAAAATATAAAACAGAACTGGGTAAAAAAAAACTAGGATATTCTGAATACTAAATCAAATTATGTTAATATATTAATGAGGCTGAAGGTTAGTCATATTTTATTTTAATATTTCTATCATATTTTTAATTACATATTACTAATTACGAACTACTAATTATTTACAATGATAATTAAAACATAGTTTAAAATCGATCTCAACCATAAAAAATTGTTAAGAAAAACCAATGTTCATAAAAAAAGTCAGCCCTTTGAAGTGTACACGCAAATCAAAAGTTATATAAACGACGTGAACATGAAACAGAAAAAAATTTTGATAAAATTTGTACAAAGTTTTCGCAACGGACCGTAGTGATAAATGATACCTACGGAAGGTCAATGAGAAGGCTTGATAGAATAGAAATCGATGATATGATACAATATGATAGAAATCGATAAGGTCATTAACAATCGATATCAAGTAAAAATCTAATATCAAATATATTCGAACGGTGAAGTTATATTTCTCTAAAAGTGGTCAATAAAATAATATTGAAATCAAGGTAGTATTAAAAAAAAAAAAGAATATTACATATTAAATTTTGTGTAAACAAAACAATTAAGATATATTAAATGCAGATTTTTTCATTAATCCAATTAAATTATTTCATGATTACAAATCACCGTCACAAAACGTAAAATAATAAATAAATAAATGGGTAATTTAAAGAAAAATGTAATAAAAAGTTAGACAAATAATCTAACGGTAAAGAAGGACATTAGTGAGAGATAATCAAGTAATAGAATTGCTAATATTATTACATGAAACTTGTATAAAAATAAAACAATATATTTTATGTCATTGATATATTTTATGGAACATAAATATGTTAAATTACACCTCCTAAACTCTTAAATCTTTATTCAAAGCAAGATATTGGGTAAATTATGACAAAATCAAGGTAATTTAACAAGAAGAACAATAAAGAAACAAAAAGGACAAATAATAAAACTAAGATATTAATTGACTTTATCAGTAAATGATAAGGATGGCTTATCAATGCGTCTCCAGGAACTCCTTGATCTTGGGCCAGTATGAGCCATCAGGGTCGTAGATCTCCAGGATGTGCTTCCAGTCATCAGGCCGCTTCGGGATGAAGATGTCCAAACTGTGCTTGAAGAGACCTTTCTGCTTATCGGTACAAAGGCCGCAGACGGTCGAAAACACCTCTGGTATCTTCCCTGAAACAATCACATGGACAAATATACTAAATGTAAAAACTGTAATAATTTTTTTAATTGCACATTTTGCGAAAAATAAGAGTTTTATAGAACTTCAGAAGGCTCCGACGTATATTGTTATAGAATTCTATATAAGACGTATATAGAATATTGTTACCTACGAATATATTTAGTTTCCCATATCTTATATTAATGAGCACCATAGTTGTGTATTACTGTATATGTGAACATAGAAAATACGTATCCCATACTTCATTATAAATTAAAAAAAACAAAAATATTGTTATAAAAAAAATTTATCGATAACATTGAGCAATATTCTGTTTTAATTCTTAAAGCACCTCCAAACTTATACCTTCATATCATGGTGTAACTCCATCCCATGTCATATTTCTACAACATTTTCTTCGATATCATGAAGTAATTATAATTAACTATTATGATTACAACTATAATTATTTTGATTAAAGAATTTAATTTAATATTATTAACTGAAAAATATAACGAAGGTAGGAAAGTCTTGATGTCCTAATGCACGTCAAAACGCTAAGTTGATAAATTCACCCTTTTTTGGAAAAAAATAAAGACTATGCATGTAAACTTGTTTACTATCTTAAATTATGATATAATAAAATTTTCATAACACGCTGTAAAATATTTTATAAGAAGAAATGGCATTTAAAAAAAAATGGACTATATATGAAAAAAAAAGCAAATTTTATATTTTTTCGAACATATAAAACTGTGTATCAGCGCATTTATACGTGAATATGCAAATGGCATACAAAAATAGAAAACTAAAAAGCTAATTTATAAAGTTATGGCTTCGTGCCGAATTTCATTATTGTAAAAAATGAAAGGGATTTGGAAAAAAAGTAATAAAATTAGAAAGTTAAAAAAAAATCAATTATGAACGAATATTTTTCTTCAATAATCAAACAATAATTTAATAAATATTTTACAGTAAATAAAACATATATAGATATGCAAATATAGTATGCAGTAAATGTTTAATGATAATAAAAATAATGTATTAGTTTTTAATTTTCCGATGATACGTCTATGAAAGCAATGATTATTATCACAGCATTCACAAATTTGATTTTTAAATGTAACATTTCATTATTATGTTTCTGCTACTTCTTCTATGTTAAGGGTTTCAATATCTCCATCACTATCGTCAAAGGTATTCTCTTATATCTCCTCATATGTATATACTTATACAAATTTCTTCCATCAGCGAAATACAATTCTCTAACTCAATCTCAATATCTAAAATCTCACAAGTCGTTAGCATCATTAAGTTAAAAAAAAGATCATCCAAACGAAAATGTTCCATCTATGATCTATTATTTTGAACTGTTGATACAAAAATTACATATATGTACAAGCATATTAATTTACGACAACTATATTGCCTATATTTGAAGTTATCACCAGCGGATTGATTCAATTGCGTTCTAGATCTAACGTGTTCTGGCCATCAATGGATTAAATTATCCCGCTTCTTCAATAACCAGCAAACCACCATAAATTTTCAATTAGATCAGCAGCGTTTGTATATGATAGGCTTTCACTACATTTGAGATGAGGGGCTACGAAAATCATCCACAATGTGGATACTATTATATAATCTATAATCACAGATTATATAATAGTTAAGAATTACGTTAATAATAAAGTTATGTTTGGAATGTTTAAATCAATTTAAAAAAAAAAAACAACTTTTTAACAAGTGTTCTGCAATTCTCTTAAAACATCAAGATCCAAAATAGGCCGTACAAAGCCATATTAATTATATAAATTGCACAAGTATGTCAGGAACTATGGAAAATTGGACCAAATCACAATAAATAGAATTTACAATTTCAAGAAACATGTTCCCTTCACTTTATCTAGACAAAAACGCAATAAAAAACGTTTATTATTTTATATTAAATAATTCCAACTTAAAAAAACTATTCTGTATAATTGTAATTTAAAATGATTATAACATATCCAATATTATTAAGTGTACTTATATAATAAATACATAAAAAAATTTAAATTACTCCCAAATGACTTTTATTGAAGACAAAATCAAACGCATCAGCGTGGTTTATGGCAGCACAAATATGCTTGGTAATTCAAAGAATGATTTTCGACTATATATTAAATCTGTTAACATTTTGAGATCCAACAATAAAAGGCATACTAAAATTTGTTATTCTATGTTTTATTACCTTCATTTTTTCAACGCGTAACAATAAGCCCAAGTCATTTTTATTAACGAAATTTGTTTCCTTAAAAAATGGGTAAAGGGGCTGAAACGTCGTATGTAATGGAAAAACATAAAGTAGGATCAAGTGTTTTATTATTACAAACACATAAGTCCTAACCAATTTTATTAAAATATATATATATATATATTAATAATAAAATTGGTTAGGACTAGGTTGTGTCTGTAATAATAAAACAACTGATCCTACTTTATTTTTTTCCATTATATATATATATATATATATATATATATATATATATATATTATTTATTAGCTACTGGAATCTCTCAATATACTATGCAAACAAAACATGAATTTGATTCTAAAAACGTCAAAATCCTGCATTATGAAAGTAATACGAATAAACGAAGCAATATACATAACTAAAAATTTAAAAAAATCGGTAAATAATCATACAGACGTGGATCATATGAACACATTTTACGCTAGTGCAATTTAAAAAACAAAAATTTGAAATGAATTAGCAAATTTTTGTTAAAATAGGTCCGCATATAATATTGGGAAACATCATTGCATATGTTAAAAATAAATAGTCTTCCCCTACTCCTTTAAGAATAACCAGTCACTGAATAGAAATGAGACTGATGACATGTCGGTGACACATGATAAGGTAATTTTAACTTAATTGAATCATTTAATAAAAAATAATTGAGTAATAATAATGTTATAAAATAATTAAAGGTGGACATGACAAAAATGAAAAAAAATTATTATGAGTGGACGCATGCAATTCGCATAAGTGAAAATGACAGGTACATGATTGGTATTTAGGTATATAAAAACTGTCATCACCACATATGCCGATGACACATGTCTCCTATCAGTAAACAATGACCCAGCAATTGCATCCCAAATGCTTCAATCACACATCATAAATCTATAAGAAATGTGTCAAAACTGAAGAATTAAAATAAACTCCAATAAATCCCACCAAATTACCTTTACCCTTCTTCGTAAACCAACGACTTCCTGTCCTACAGTTTCCTTTAACAATACTCCACTTATCCCTGTTGAGCAAATCCGATACCTAGGACTCCACCTGGACAAACGACTAACTTGGAATCCTCATACTAGACTGAAACGACAAGAAACCGCTCGACGTTTCCGATTACTTCAGCACTTACTAGACAAACACTCTAAACTTCCCATTAATTACAAAAGACTCATATACTTAACTGTAATAAGACCTATTTGGACTTACGGAGTTGAGCTATGGGGCTCCACTAAACCATCGAATTCCTCTCGCATCCAATCCTTACAATCCAAAATCCTTCGTAAAATCCTCAATGCTCCTTAATTTGTCACTAATAAAATTATCCATAAAAATCTTAATATTCCTTATGTTTCAGATCTGGCCCAATCCAGATACCTATCCTTCCATAATAAATTTCAGAATCATCCCAACCCTCTCGTTTCTAACCTTGCTTCCTCTTCAATTCCTGATAACCCTCCGAGGCGTCTGAAAAGAAGATGGCCCCGTGATCTCCTAATGTAGTCATATCATTAGAGTGCTACCATTGGGTAGTTAGTTACTCAGCAAGTGTATTCATGTCATTATATCAATTATGTCCAAATTTACTTGATGTATTTATGTAATACAGTTGTAAATGTCATAAAGAAAAAAAAAAAAAGGTATATAAAAAGAACCTCTATATGTTGAAATATGTAATGATTTAAATATGATTGTAAATTGTAAAAATCCGAAACGTCGTAATTAGATGTGATGTCAGTAAGTTGACAAAATTTTAAAAATTGGTGTAAAACTGGCTGATAATAAACAAACTTGAATATATATATATATTGCAATGAATATGACATACCTTTAACCATTTCAGCAATTTCCGAACAAGGACCAGTGTTGAAGAAACATTTAAGATAGGAATCCAAGAGCCGATCGTTATTGATAATTGTGTCTACATCGAAATCCTCAAGAATCTTATCGTACACATCGTACGGTGGTTCCTCTTCTTCTTCGTCGGCGAAGACTGTTGAGACAGCCAACAAGGAACAGACTACTGCGAAGAAGGAAGCTCGCCTCATAGCGACGGTGTAACACGAAGACTCGGCAGCCAGAGCACATATACTTAGAGTACATGTACAGTAGCCTTGCGAAGGGTGCAATTTTCCTCAGTCCACCATAGCAATAATAGTCACGCGAGAATTGTAGCTCATTACGAGGAAATAACCGAGCCGGAGGGTGTAATTTTGAGTTTATTACAATGGCCCGTTTGGAACAAGGGTATAATGGGTGTAACTAACATTGTAGATTAAAATACGTCAATAGCGTGTCCAAAAGTAACCAAAAACTTTTCAACTTTTGGGTTTTATTAAGAAAGAGACACTTAATGAATAAAATAACAATATTGTTAAAAAAGTTATATAAGAAAGAGAGGAAACGAATTGTTCATGCCCTCTAACTTAGGCAACAATAAATACAAAAAAAAAACGCTGCAAATTATATCACAATGGTTTATTATTTCTAAACAATAATACATCTAAAGTAATATTACCTTCCGAGTTACAAAGAAAAATAAATAAAAGGTGATTCTAATTATTGAACTAAACCTTTTTTGTTAATCATTAGTAATATAAAAAAAAAAAAAAGCATTACTTCAGAAACATATTCAAAATTTAAAAACCAAACAAACGATATAACATTTAGAGTAGAACATATATATGAAAAAAAAAAAAAACCGAAGACCATATCTTTGCTCCTAATTGTCCGATTATAACGATTTTATTTTGATTTTTTAGGAAATTTCGTAAACTTTTAAAAAACCACATACAATACCTACAAAAAAGTGTTAACTGTTTGAGTTATTCGGAATTTAATTTTACCATCCCTCGTAACTTTTTTTCCAGCTTCTTTTCGTATGTAAGTTGTACGTTATATAGATAAATTTAAAGGGCGTAGAGAAAATGACTTTAGCGAAGTTTCATTGAAATCAGTACATTCATTTAGGAGCTACGGTCTATAGCAACGCAGGTTTTTTGGCAGCCATTTTGAAAATAAAAAGCGGATAGTAATGTCGATGAAGGAGCATTATCCTTGGGTGACCTCAGATTTTATATCCAAATCAGAAAGAAATCGGTCCAGTAGTTTCAAATTTTGAGAGAGTGTTAAGTTTTTGAATTTTTTGGTCGATCACAATGGTTGATTATTGAAAATAATAAACCAATTATTACTAAAAACATTATTATTGAAAATAATAAACCAATTATTATTTTCCATAATCAACCAAAAGAAAATAATGGAAACTGTTTCAAGAATATGATCATCCTAATGTCAAACTAGCTTTATATACAGTAAAGGTTAGGAAGAACTTACTCGTATTACGGCCGTATGAAGTACCTTCTAGATAAAACAAAATATGCATTAAGCTTAGGTTAGAAAAAGAGGAAAACTAGGTACGGCCAGATTTGGTTTCATACCGAAGATACTTCACATGGCCGTGGTACAACTCGGGAGATGGGATGCGGGTCTTCCAAACTTAATAAACTAAAACTAATTATAAGTACACCAAAGATAAAAGGATGATTAGGAAAAATAATATATATTGAAGAAAATTCGAAAAAAAAACTAAGAATAAGGATTAATCAACATATAGCGAACTGCAAAATATAAAGAAAAGACATAAATACAAGAAAACTTATAGTGATAGATCTCCACTCATCCCGGATCACCACTGGTCATGGATTTCACTAAGACAAAACTCTTATAATCCGGAGGTAAACTAGTCCTCCGTTCGGGTCTTCGAGTGGATAATGCTTTAGATGATCCATGGCACAAACAAGTACCGAACGAGGCTAAGGGGGTACAATTTAAAAAAGTTGTCCTGCAATAGATTCGTTGGCCGGAGGAGGCCGAATAAGAGAAGGGAAGTACACTATTTGGTAGGAAGGAAGCGGGAATCATTGTTTAGGTACGAGGTTTCTAATTAGAAATAAATTGCTATCCGCTTTCAGGGTCATACAAATTTTTAGTGATAGTATATAAATGGCCATATTTCAGGAACCTTGGATCAAAATCGCGTTAATAAACATAAATTGTCCGATCGAAGACAGTGATAATGAAACTAAAATTTAATTTAAAACAAAACAAAAGTATCGAAAATTATAAAAAAAAAACTAGAAATATAAAATATATCAGAAAAATAAATATATTTCATAGGCCATTACTGTTCGTCGTTTTCACGGCGCCAGTAGTGGCACTTAAACATCCAGAAGCGGTGGTAGCAGCCTATGCTGACGATATCGCAGTCTATGCATCCAGCCTTAACGCAGAGAGAGCTCTCATGAAAGCACAGAATGCCATACAAATAAATCCTGATAAGACCGATGCCATAGCGATGTCATTTCAGCAAAGAAAGAAGCCCCTGCCCACTCACTTCACCATTGGTGGAGTGGACCAGCGGATCTCCACCTCAGTCCTTTACCTAGGCGTGACTCTGGATAGGCACCTCACCTTTACTAGTCACGTCAACCAGAGGCTCAAGCTGGCTCGGCAAAAGGAGTATAGGCTCTACCATCAGCTAAAGTCGGCGCAGCTCTCGTTGAGACTAAAACTGCAAATCTACAAGGCGGTCATCAGGCCTGCTCTGCTCTATGGTGCACCATTGCTTCGCCACCTGTATAAGTACACGCTCAAGAAACTCCAGAGTTATCAAAACTCCATCCTTCGGCGAATAGTCAGAGGTAGCACCCTGCAAAGGGCAAAGAATGTAAAGATCCGAGAGGAGCTTCAGCTCCCATCGGTGCCTGAGTTCATAGGACGAAGGCACGTCAAATTTTTCGATGGGCTGAAGGTCTGTGCTAACCCGCTTTTCTAGGAAATAGTACCGCCGCCCAAGCCTGGGAGGTGGCAAGGTAAAGTCCCCTTGGTTGATGTTCTCGCCGTGGGAAGGGGTTTGGACTCTGTAGTTCACACCCACTAACTATAATATAAATAATAAATTAAAGCAGGACGGTCCCTCCATGCCCAGTGGTATAATAAAAGGCCTCTGGTCACAGATGCAAAGAACGCATTCAGCGTGCAGAGCCCTCTTACCTTAAAATGGCCTTGGGCAATAAAAGGAAATTGTAAATTTATGTATATATACATTTATATATATATTGTATTTTGTAATCAAGAAATTCCTAGGGGGTAGGAAAAAAATATATATATATAAATATAAAAATTATTAGAAGCTAATACTTTATACTATTTTAGAAAGAATAACAACGAAACAATCAATTATAAAACTGATAACATTTAAGAACACATTTTGCGGATATTATTAATATAATAATTACGTTTAATAATAACTAAAAAAAAATATTATTTTTAAGTAATTGCACAGATGAATATAAATGGGTAGATAAACAAAGGAAGAAATAGAACTACCAGACCACAGAATAAAAACTAATAAGATATCAATGCTCAGAAAATAAGTTTTGAGCTGCAGGTGTGATTTTATTAATTTTAGTATTTTAGTATATTAACGTTATTTTAAATTCGTTGGATTATATGTTGAGTAACAATAATTAACAATGTTTTTTAATAGCAAGTTTTGAAATAAATATATCATATGGAAGACCTTAATTTCGCTATCAAAATAAAGGAAAAAAATATATACATAATGAAGAAGACAAACTATAATAAAATAAACAATCTATATGTATATGTTAAATTAAAATAAAGAGATAAATGGGAGAAATTGCGAAATATTTAAATGGGTATATTTTATTGGAATTGTAAAATAGTTTCGGAACTCATAACATTCACTCAAATAATCATATAAATTTTAATTTATTCCTTTATAATAATACCACTCCCTATTATTGATATCATGATAATATCAGGTTTAATAGTGAATAAAAGAAAACATCTAACTTATTTAAATATACTATAAAATCATATTTACAAATCAGAAATACACACATTTGAAATTTACTATTCAGTTATACATTTTTTTCATTACAGTGATCGCACCCACCTAAATTTAAAAAGGAGTTCTGGTATCCCACGTGAAAAATAATGATCATCGCTTTGAAATGAAAATTATACTGCTTAAAATATAATTTTTATCAATTCTACTAACATTAAGATCCATTTGGTGATATAAAGGAACAAAACATAGAACTGAAGACATTAAACTACAATACATTCGATAGTTTCTAAAAGGGGAAATGAAACTTGGATGGAAAAAGAAAGTTTTCATATAAAATCTATGTACCTTTTCTAAGCAGCGAACATAAAAAATATGAATTTTCGGAAAAATAAAAAAAAAACCATTAATTGACTACGCAACTACAATACTTCCAGTTGCGGAACTATCAACACGTAAGCTATTGTAGGACTAAAAAGGCATACATACTTTGTTTCAAACTAGATTGATGAAGTGTATACATAATATCATTGATTAAAAATTAAATTTACAATTTCCGAGTTGGAGAGAATAATTTCAAGTAATAATCAATGAAACATGCAATAAATAATTCAATAGAGGTTTGTCAATAAAATTAATTACACATTAACTAGAAAGACAAGATGGTTACATAATTGCCATTTCCTTACGCTTTCTAAGAACAAATATATTTTATTTAATTAAAAGAAACTGGGAGAAATACAGTCTTCCTCATTAATGAAAAAGTCTGTTTTCTAGTCAAGAAATATTTAAAAATGTGTTTAGAAAATTCGCAAACTATGGGAAACATTATCCACCTTAACAAATAGTGACATTAGAGCTATAATCTTTTTCATTATTTCAATATTACACTGTTCTACATTGATATTGTATCTCATATGGGAACAGCCTCATTCCATGTATTTATTTAGGTGTGAAAAATTCGAATTTCGACATAAAAATCATCAGATAGCTCTAGTTTCAAAAAAATAGTTACTTTTTGCTTAAATATGGGAAAATTTCCTGCTCCTGGATTGGTAGGACTGATTTCTGTCTGTGAATCGAGGAAAAAGACACGTATTCGATACTGGGTATACGTATCTACAGAATAGAAGCTAATATAAAAATTCTGACAGAAAATTCGTATTTCTCATA